CGGTGTTTCCTGAAGCCGCATTGATGGGGCCAGAGAAACTTCTCCACAGCCGGAGAAATTCGATTGAGGACGAGGATCGAAACGGCCTTCCTAATGCTGTTAAGAGCACGATGGGGCGTAGACTGGAGCATTCGCCTCTTGGCTTGTTGGGTTTGTGGAGGCACAGCAGTGTGCCTTCGCCGAGGTCTAGTGGCTCTCCTCGCTCGAAGCTTGAGCTAATAAGCTCTGCTAAGCGGGGTGACAGTGCAGTAGCACCGTATTTGAGCAGTTCTCCCGGGAGTTCGTCTGGGCCAGATGCCCGGTTGTTGCGAAGTCGACGAAGAACTCTTGAGATTTCATCTGCCGTGATAGGTGTGTCTAATAATATTTTAAAATAAAAGACTTGAGGGCTTTCTTAGAGCCGATTTGAAAAACCGATCTCCCTAAAATTGTAAATCAGTAAAAAAAAAGGCCGATGCTACAGTCCATGCGTCGACTCAGTTTATTTTCCATGTAATACTCCATGTAATGTCCATGTGTCGAAATAAATTACTTACCACTGTTTTTAAAATCCATAGTGAATGGAAGTTGTTAGACCTTCGCAAACGAAAGTCCTCTGACATCTCTCGTACATACCGGTATACAGAAGTCAGGAGGTCAACCATACGCATGAACATTAGGCGGGTCGATTCCAGTTTCAATAGAAATGAGATTGTATTAGTTGCATTATGGCTTGCTACCGTGAAGCACGAAGTGAAGGATGCGGAAGCGTAACAGCGTTAGACCAATCGGAGTTACGTCCAGCGACACACTCTTGTCTACATATCGCCAAAACCTCAACATTACGTAGAATCCGCAGTTGTATCCGTCTGTCTGGATCGGTCCATTGACGGACACAACTTTGAAGTCGTCGCTGAGCGTAGTAGCCAGATCCCACGACATGCGGTCCAGTACGTCCTTGTACGTCTTCAGGTTCATTGAGTCGTAGTACAGGACATTGTTCTGCTTGCCATCCACGATCATTGCACACCAATGCATGTTCCCAAAATTTACAGGAATGAGCAGTACATCCGCTTTAGTGAGTAGTTCCTGAACCTTTGTCTTCATTTTTTCACTCATAGATTTCTTCTTCTTTGACGCCGAGGCTGCCTCGACACCGACGATGCGAACGCCGGTGCCCGTCCTGTACAATCTCGCGCAAAAAGCCAAAATCAGCGCATCATTAGCCCATTGGGGCGGCTTGAGACGGTACAGCATCGCGTAGTGGTAATCGTTGCCGTCAATTGGGATGGTATCTTGGGGATAGGCGCGAGCAATGGCCTCTGCCATGCTCTGAAGTGTCGATTGTTGTGCTGCTGGTATGGCGCTGGCTGCATCCTGTGTTAACCATTTGGTAAACGTCATTCCATCATCACACGAACGCTTCACGTTTGCTAAGTATGCCATGGCCTCAATCTGTTCGCGTGAAAATGTTCCGATACCCGCAATGTAGACACACTCGATCTCCGGGTTTTGTCCGTTGCTGTCCATGATTTGTCCAGGTATTGTAGATGTTTCTTTGTCTTTTTGTGTAGTTTGACTCTGGGTGACTACATCGATGGCTGTTTCATTGGTGTTGCTCACAGGCAGCACGGCAACGCACTTGTCCAACAGTTTGGGTGGAAGTAGGTAGAACGCGTTTTCATTCAGCACAGGCGCACTCTCTCTAGTGTACTTGGGTTTCTTGCTACCCGCGTTGTTGTACTTGGTTTGGAGTGGCAGAACACGACGTAGAGTGTCTTGAAGTGGAGGCTTCTCAAGTTGAAGACTGCGCGCAAGTTGTATTAATGTCACCTCTCCAAGACATCTTCTATGGGCTTCTGACTCGTTAAACAACGCTCGTTTCTTCTTGCCGTCTGCTTCTCTCTCCTTTCTGTTCAACCGGGGCCTACCAGACTTCGCAGCTTTGGGGTTCAGACGGATGCGCAATCCACTATCAGTCTTTTTCTCTTCGTTGTCATCAGGAGTGGTCTCAAGCGCAAGCTGCTCCATTTCGGGCTTGGTTCCGGTTCGATTTCGGCTAGTTGTCACTGGAGAGGTCACTTCATCTGTTTCTGTTTATTCTCTCGTGACTGGAACCTTCGTTTTTCAACCTTTACACGTTTGCGCTGCCTAATGTTCCTCCATTGTTGCACGACGAAGTCTAAATGCTCACGGTACTCGTCGTCATCAGCGATATCGGCTAGCTCACTGCATATAGCCTGGAACGCGCTGACTGCCTCCTTGTACTTAACATTAGCGTCAAGCACCTTGTGTTTCGCCTCCCCTGGTTTAAACTCATTAAGCACAAAAGGCCGCGTTGTCATCGGTTGTTCAGCAGGATGTAACCATCTAAATGAATGACATGTCAGACCCTCAGTACAACATCAATATTGGATATTACATGGACAACTCACGGCTTATACGTGGATAAATTGTGAGTTAACCCACCTTTCATCGATGCAACTCAGCGGTATTACGCTTCCTGGGGCGTTACTCCACTTCCGAAACGCGATCGCGTGTTGACAAGGCAGACGCATTGCAGAAGCAAACGAGCAAGTGCAGCTCCACGTTTTCAAATCCACAGCATGCGTCTTGTGTTTACCCGTCACCTCCACGAAGCCTGGATTTGACTTTATGTCGAAATTGAACTTGTCGACCTTCGAACATGCCATTACGTACTCCTTCTCCACGTGTGTTGCTACGAAATGCGTCGTAAAGCGCAAAACTTGGCACATCTCCTCGTCGTAGTTGCGGTTGACACGTAACCCGATCCTAGTCTTGTCGAACACGTATTCACTGGAAGTCCTGGCATCAGCACCCACAAGGGCCTTCACGGTGTCCGTCATGGTCATGTTGGAGTTTACCCCGTCCTTAAAATGCCCAAACCAATTCTCTAAATGGTTGTTCGTGTGGACGCGCAAATGTGCCAACCGTGAGCGTTGGTACATGACCCACATCTCCGTACAAGTGTTCCAGTTTTCATCCATGTAGTTGTAAAATGCCATATATCCAGTCCTAGTGCAAAGTGCCTTCATGGAGGTCCAATTGGTCTCGTAGATCTCTGAACTTAAGGCATATACCATGTTGTGGACTAATGCGTCGATGGCGTCGTGATCGTCCGACGAAAGTTTACCATATTCTGGCTTCCTGGACGCTGTGCGGAGATATTTGATGACGTGAAAGACGCAAATAAACACGCGCGACTTAGGGAAGTACCGACGCAACACGCGGATCTCATTCAGATCTTTGTCGACCATTATAACTTGAACCTTGTCGCCAATCTTATCGTCAATCCGAAATAGATGATCCAGCGCTCGGGACATCTGCCAATCGGCGTTTCGTTCGAGCAAAGACTGTTGTACAGGCTGCCCACGCCCATTGTCGTCTATCATCATGAAGGTCCAAAGCTGGTAGTTGTATCTAATGCACATTACATGGACAAGAATCGCACAATACATGGGCATGACATTAAAATAAGCATGGACAATACATGGACAAATAATTGCACAATACATGGGAGGACTTACCGATTCGTTTTGTGGGTACAGTCCACAAGCAAAAGCTCTGGAAACCTAGTAACCATGTCGCGCATATGGCTGGAAGTCATACTGATCACACCAGAGTGTCCCGCATCAGTTTCGTCCACCGTGACTACGTTACCGTCAATGGCTGCGAATTCCGCGAGAGTTGCGGCGCAAGCGTCGTCGTCATTCAACCCTCCTCTTATCTCTGCTTTAACACGTTGCACAATGTTGTCCACATCCTTCTTGACGAGGTTCTCGCCTCTCCCCAGAAGATACTCATAGATGCGTGCGCGCTTTCTACCGTACATCACCATGCTGTCCACAGCATCCTTCGTGTCCGTGTCGTCCAACCTACGGTTCTCCGCGTACGTCTTGAACTGCGCTGTCCCCACCGCATGGTTGTGCTGGTACACACCGTTCTTCACGCGAAGGCAGCATAAGCCGTCAACTTGCACGAGCTGCACCACAAATCGAAATGGACAACCGCATCCTCGGACGAAGTGCTTGGTTCGCAATCCGCTGCTCCTGTCTTTTGCTGGCCAGCCATGTGTGCAGATGTATGTGCGTTGGTAAGCACCCCACGTCTCTGGTACGTACGGAACATCCATTCCCTGCTTTGCTGCCGCTGTTTGACCCAGCCGCTTGTTTCTCAATACGCAACTAAGCGTTGACTGGATGCGGATGACCTGGCGGGACTTTACCGAGTAAGCCTTCAAATACTCATTCCACGCCGACCAGCTCGGATACGTCACGTCTGCGGGGCCCTCCACAAGGGAGGGAGAGTCTACGACCTGGACAATACATGGACGCTTGAAATCGTCCGTGTCAGGCGAGGCGTCGTCCGAGTTTGCAGCCGCGCCGGAGGCTGCGGAAGCCGTGGTGTCGATATCTGAAGAGGAGTCGGACGATCCACCCTGTATTTACAAATAGATAACGCACGGTTAGAAACACGTTCACAGAGACCACAAACAGCAAGATAACGCACCTCAGACGTCGCGGAAGCGGGTAGACTGAGCGACATGGCCGGCGATTGCAGCAACGGTTGATCTCGTGACGTAGGCTGCGGCGTGCAGGTAACGGAGCGGCGGCGGCGGCAATGCTCGAAGGGGGGCGAGTTTGGGTTTGAAAAGCAAATGAAAGGCTGGTGTGATTGGTACAAGTACCGGTATACAGTATTGTACCGGTATTAACTACATAGATCACATCGTGGACAATACACGGATGAGAGTTGGACAATAATTGCACTCAACGACTGGGTTGTTTTTATAAATTACCGAATGAAAATATTTTACATCATGGACATTACATGTACATGGAGTATTACATGGAAAATAAGCGGATTTGACGCATGGACTGTAGCATTTCCGATTAAAAAAAACGAACACTTTCGGGTTTGACAAGCTGGGGTTGTTTTTAGTGTCGAACGCCTTACTCAGTTGAAGTCAAATCATTTCCACCCGTCACCTCATACTCGCCATGTTCCTACAGCGCTACGTGCATGTAGTGCTGGACGCGATCCTTGGCAGCTATGTGAAGGACATTGACCCTGATGCGCTGCAGATCAGCGTGTGGAATGGCAAGATCGAGGTGGAGGCCGTGGAGCTGCATCCTGACGCTTTCCCACTGCCCAAGCAGATGCGTCTGGTCAAGGGCACCTTGCGCCAGCTACGTATCGACCTTCCATGGACCAACCTGGCCAACCAGCCCATCCGCGTGGACATTCGGGACGTGAGTCTACTGCTCGAGGTCTGCGCCAACGACCGCGCGCACTCTGCCAATGAGCAATCGCCCGAGACGCGGCACCGCCAGAAGCTGCAGACGCTACAGCGCAAGCGAGCGGCGCTCGACGCCATAGAGAAGGCAGCCGAGTTTAACGAGACGAACAAGACGCAGGCGCCCCCGGGCCAGAGCTGGACACAGAGTTTCCTGTTCAAACTCATGGTTAAGGTGCTGGACAACGTGCAGGTTCACGTGCAGCATCTGCACTTGAGGATGGAAGACGCCGTGTCGGACCCGAGGCACCCTTATGCAGTAGGGATGACACTCGAGGCTATTATCATCAAGTCGGCTGACGAAGGCTGGAACTACACTATGGTGGGGAGAGGTCAGCAGCAGGATGGTGCGTCATTTATCAGAAAGAAGATGGACATCAACAAGTTCGGTATCTACTGGTCTCTACCGCTCGTGCCAGTGCCAGCTACAGTGCTTAGCGATGCAGAGGCCTTTGCAACGTTGATGAGGAGAAATTTCTCAGTAGGGAAGAAACTGGAAGAGCTGGAGCCGTCCCCGTCGCCCCCAACATCAGAGCGGGTTGAGCTCGAGAAGACGACGTTCCCGGCGCTGTTGAAACAGAGCGACTATATTGTACATCCACTCACAGTCTCCATGAAGCTGACGGTGAATGACGGGAATGCCAAGCTGCCTATTACGCACCAGGAATTGAGTGAGCGCGTGCTGTCGAGACTTGGAACGCCCTGGATGGTGGAGACGATCGATGCGATTGGAGGCGAAGCCTGGAGCGAGTTCCTGGAAATGATGCCGAAGCTGGCAGGAGAGCGCAAATATACGCTGGGATTTGTGTTTTCGGAGGCGTGGTCAGTGGCCAGAGACCTCGCAGAAGAAGAGGATGAAATTCCGTCGGTGAAGCAATTCAAGGATGCGTTGTCGAGCTGTATGCAGTGGTCTCTGGCAGAAGTGGATCGTGTGGAGCCATGCATCGTCAAGTATCGTGAAGCAGTAGTCCATGTGATGGAGGAGAAGAGCACGTATATCGATGCCCAAGCTAGTATCGACCAGATCAGTACGTCGCTGCACCGCCAGCAGTATCTGAGTGCGCTTTCCTTCATATCCTTCTTGACGGTGAAGCGTCGACAAGCTCGGTATCTCGTGTTGCGTCCGAAGCGGATTCGCGTCAAAGATAACCCGAGAAGGTGGTGGGGATATGCAATAAACGCCGTGTTGTTGGACGTTCGTGAGCGCTTGGCTCATGTCGATTGGGAGGCACTAGAAAAGACTCGACAACAGAGGAATCGATACAAGGAGTTGTATCTTGTGCTGGAACACGGTACTACATTTGCGGCCTCACTTGTGTCCCCGGATCTGCGGCTACTGACGAAAGAAATGGCACGCAGCGAGCTGGACGAGTTGGAATTCACGATGGACGTTCAGGAATTGATGAAGCTTCGTCGTGCTGTGCGTAATGATATTGTCGAAAAGGAGAAAGAAAAGGAAGTATTGAAGAAGCTGCAAAGACAACGTGAACGTGAGGACGGTGGGCCGTTCTCCCAAGGCTCAGAGGTCCCAGCTAGTTCCCGTCTTTGGTCGTACGCCACGTGGCTGACAGGCACCGGCAGGGGAGCGCAAGGTGGCTATGACACTGGATCGCGGAGGGGTGGGGAAGTACGAGTTGAAGACGTGAAATGGAGTGATCAGGACACCAAGGATCTCTATGAGGCGATCGATTTTCATCCTGACGTAGTTGATAAAGAGGGTCGATCGTCTGAAAGTAGCGAAAGCGAGGACGCTGCTGCTGCTGCTTCTGCACACAAGAAGCGCTTGCTGCAAGAACAGCAACACATTTTGTACAGGTTCCAGCTTACCCTGTGCAAGGCAAGGTTTGGACTCGGCCTCGAAGACGTTCCTAGCGAACTCAATGGCCTCGCCCTTCACGAAGGAGTTGGCACAGCGATCCCCACCAAGTCTAGTCTGTCACCACACTTGATTGCGTCTCTAGATGACGTAGAAATTCAATTTCAAGTGCGGTCGTCGTGCGTGGAGGTGGGTCTTCAGCTCCGAGATGCTTTTTTCTGCCAGGGCTCCAAATCTTCAGCCCAGGACAGCCCATCGCGCAAACGGCGGTCAGTGAGCTCTTCGGGAACCGACTTCTTTCTCCAGCGAATGGATATGGAGGAGATCTTGGAGTATCACCCAGTAGGGGTGCGAAACCAAATGAGCAGCGTACGTCTACGTCACTGTGAAAGGGAACTACCACTGATGCAACTCCACATTGAATCGGAACGCCAGCCAAAGCATGACGAAGAAGCGGATACGAAACGAGAGACGTCGTCGGAAGACGCTGCTGCAGCCCATTTACTCCGGGTGTCACTCGTTACCCAACCGATCAAGTGTAACGTCAACTTGATGTTTCTTCTCGATGTGGTGGCGGTGTTTTCTCGTCCTGTAAACGTAGACTTGTCGGGGCTTGAGCACAGTGCGTGGAAGCGAGCGCAGAGTCTGCAGCGATACAGTACGGCTCAGTTGCGGGATGCCATAGCTCGAAGAACAAAGGTAGACGTGCGCTTGGATGTGATATCCCCATTGATCAACATTATACAATCGCCGCCATCGGACACTGGAATTCCTATTGGAGACGAAGTGAGTTTGCTGGTTTTCCTGGGTCATTTGAAGGCGCAGACGAAGCACCCGGGTGATAATTATGAGGAAGGTGGCGTTTCGAGCGACTTTGGAGAAACGGAATCGCCTGAAAGTCGGAAGACTGGTGTTACTACGCCCGAGGAGAGTCTTTATGATGTCCTGGAGATCAGTATCTCGGGGATTGAAGTGCAAATTATCGATGGGAGAAACAACGGTATTGTCCGAAACGTTTTCCGCATGCGAACTCAATCAGGCAAGAGATCCTCGTGGCACTATCTTCTCAAGAAAACCTCTTTGGCGTTCAGTTTTTACATGAGCGTCACGCCTGACGATCCCAGTGTTCCCCTTCTGAAGCTTTTTGGAGGCGTCGACAGCGTTAATTTGAACTTGTCGGCTACAAGTTTCCGCTCTTTGATGCAGCTACTCCACTCGTTCGGGGGCAACTTTTCAGCTCACGCGCAGCGGCGTCTTGACACGCAGGCTGCCACTGTAGTTGATATAGCAAGCCTTCCTTCGACACGAATCGGACAACAGTCGGCAGGGACGCCACAACGTAGCAAGCCGAAGCTCGTACGCAAGGTATCCTCCTACGTAAAGCCTGGAGCTGTTGCTCTGTCCAGTAGCGGCTCAAGTGGGAGACCTGCTGCGTCGGAGAACAGCCCCTATCTCGGTTTAGCCAGAAAGATCCAACTCGAGCGGAAGACAACACTCGGCGAAAAGGACATTGACGACCACGATTTACTCAGGCTGTGGAAACGCGTGCTCTGCCAGCTCCAATTCGGAGTGGGTGAGGTTATCCTCACGCTACAAGTGCGTGATATGGAGAACGGTTCAGGAAAGATTGTTCGAGTGCGTGCTGTTGATATTAACACGCGTTTGAAAGTCAGATCATACGACAAGAGGCTGGAATTTGCGCTCGGGACATTTTTGGTGGAAGATATTCTCCTCTCAAGGCCGTCGCCGTCGTCAAAAGTGGTGGAAAAGAAGCGATTCCTCATGAAGTCTGGAAATCATGGTGTGGTTGCTGATCTGGACGGGAAATCCCTGGAGGAGGATGCTCCGTTTGCAAAACCTCCGCCTTCGTCCGAGCAGCTAATTCATGTGACGATTACGAGTATCGCCTCCGACGTCGTGCTACCGAAGGACAAGAAGTTGTGGAAAAATACTCGACATTCGCCGCTCTCCCCGTCTTCGCAGGAGAGGTCTGTTTGGCAAGACCCTCTGGTTACTTCACTGTCGGTTGATGCAAGTTTGCGAGTGCTTACAATTGACGTGTTTCAAGATACGCTGGCTGAAGTCGTCGTGTTTTTCTTCCAGCATAGTGGTGACAATACCGAGGAGAGAGTCCAGGAACAGTCGCCTCCTCCTCCGCCTCCACTGTCCTTGCGAAGTGTCAGTGAAGCAAGCACAGAGAAGAAGGGGGATGTGGAGGAACAATCAGTCTTGTCCTCGGTGGATGCTGAAGCCAACGAACGGACCTTCTCGAGGAAACTAAGTGTCTGGGTGGCGTCCTCATTCCTGGACAACCTTCCAGGCACAAGTCCAGAGAATGAAAAGGGCCCCGAGGACTCGACCGCAGTTAAGGATGGTGTCGAGGAAGAGCTTCCGGCATCAATGCAACTTCGTCTCCATGTGGAAGGGTTGTCTTTGTTTCTCCACTTGGATGATAAACTGCGACCCGAAGGGATGCCGTCAGCTTTTGCCACTTTGACAGCTCACCAATTCTGCTGCTGCGTGCAGAAATTCCCACGTTACTTGAGCATGTTTGCTTACTTGACTTCGCTGAAAATCTGCGACGTGTCTCTGCCCGACCAAAAGCTCAGTGAGATCATATCGCATGGAAGTACGTCACCAGAGCCAAAGGAGGACACGCTCTGGCTCAATCGGGACGATACTCGGGACAACGATGGCGGCATCGCAGTGGGTCACATTCCGACGCTAAGTGAGATTTTGATCATGCTCGATGACGTCCCTGCGGTATTTTCTTGTGCCGCGCAGTTTTACGGAGCAGATTCCATCCAAGAAGCTTGGCATCCAGGCTATAGTAGTCGATATTCGGTGCGGCTCAAGTCGCCGCGGATCCGGTTTCTCTACAGCTTTGTCGACGATATGCGCAACTACTGGCTGAAAGGCGTTTTGTTGGAGACGGTTTTGTCCATTTTGTCGGATAGAGACCAAGCTGACATGTTTTGGGAAGGCGATTTTCAACTCGCGGATATTCAAGGAGGTCCGATACAAGCTCACATGGATGCAGAAGAGGACGAAAAAGAGGAAAACGTAGATGACGAAGCACGCACCGGCGAGTTCTTAGGATCTGATGTGGTGTCCATGTTCCCACTGGTCGATATTCGACTGGAAGATGCAGTTCTGGAGATGCCTCCTCATCGAATGGCGTCCGAGTCTCTTTTGCTACGCTTCGATAGCTTCCGAGTCTCCAATGAAGGCGTTGTCAACAGCTTTTTGGGGATGGAAAACCGCATCGTGGCCAAAGTTCTTCTCAATTCGTCGCTGAAGCAGTTGCAGCTCGATATGAAGGCTCTTCGAATTGTCTCGGTGATTCTGGTGGACCGCAGCGATGTGGACAAGCGACTAGATGGGGGAGGGCTTATCACGCAGAGTCTACTGGGGCTGACCAACTACGCTCTTTCCGTAGATTTCCGCTCACACGATGATCTCAAGTTGAATCTGATCTTCGGTCCCGTTCGTTTAGTTTGCAACCAAGAGCAATACGCCTTTGTGCTTCGAGTGCCATTCCAGAACTACCGTGAGCGTAGTCGCTATCGTTTTTTCTTACAAGGAGCAGAAGCTCAAGCAAAACCACGAGCGCGAATTGCGTCTCGCCGATTCTCATCGTCTCGAAGCGTTGATGGAGCTTCCTCGTCCGTGGGGGTTGTGGAGGACGGTGATGAAGTCAGCAATGGAGCGAGCGTTTCCGAGACCCCAGAAGCTGCTGAAGAACGGCATATCATGCTCGACCTTCACGCTCCCGAAATTACAATGGAGATACTACAGGGACAACATGGCTACCATCCCTCGAGCAGTGGGGATCTCGATATGATTGAGAAGGGCAGAACGAACGACGGCTCAATCTGCCTGTTGGCTCTTTCTGCGCTATCAGGGCGTGCTGATTACAATCTAGCCACTGGGAGATTAACGGCAAACGTGGACCTAGAGGGCATTCACGTTCGGGACTCGCGCGTGAGCTCAAAGATTTCAGCCTCGTATCGAGACGTTGTTGTGTTTGAGAGATACAAGGAAGGATTGCCGAAAGCTATTAAAATCCAGTTTGGACGCGAAAGTTTCGACGTAGATCTATCGACGATAGGCTTCGATCCAGCCTTTGCTTCTCCTGCAAATGGACTGCGAACTCTGAGAACGCAGTTCAGGAGTGTGTCGTCTAGGGCCATTGGAGGCCTGTTCGGGTCCGAGTTTTCTCTAAGGCGAACAGATTCCGAGATGTCTGCCTACTCGCAAATGTCGTCAACCGTGGCAAGTCATGGCGCTCACTCCGTAAAGTCCAGCGAGGAGAAATCTCCCTCCGTGGTGGGGGTAGAAGGAAGAATGGATCTGGTGGTCGATATCGCGGGTTTCAAGGTCATCCCGTCGAGTATTCACTATGACTTGATCCAGTTTTTGACGAATCCTCGTGGCCTGAGTGGAGATGCTGAAGCCTCTGAAAGTAGCCGAGGAGAGGTGGACGGCGATGGGGATCCCGACCCTGAAAGCACAGCGCTAGTACCGCCAGTCTATCGCCGAATCAGTTTGGAGCTGAATCTGGGTCCGTCCGCCTTGTTGTTGGTGGAAAATCCTCACAAGCTGAAGTCGAGGGCGCTGATGTTGTCGTGGGAATCGTCTGTTCTTCTCAACTATCTCCAACAAGCAAATGAAGACGAATGCACGAACATCGAGGATGAAGCGAAAGAATCCCCGGCACACAGCAGGAATCAGCTGCAGTTCTGTATCGCCCTTGAAAATATCCACGCGACCTCACGTCTGTCGGAAGAGAGCGTTTGGGCGGCGGAGCTGTCGGCCACGGCCGCATCTGCTGACTGTCTGAAGCCCATCGACATGGAGACCGTCTTGCAGATGGATCTCCACTCGCGTTTTCTTCGCTTCCGAACGACGTTTAACCGCGTGATGGAGCTTCGGTTCGGATATCTGGATTTCTGCACGATGCTTGCAGCCCTCGAGCACATTTCCCACCGACCTCTTTCCGTGCAGCCAACTACCTCTGGTCAGAAGCGACGTTCAATGTCCGGCTCGTCGATTTCCTCCCTCTCTGGAGGAGGCGCAGAGAGCGAGACTTCGTCTTGGAGTGAACGCCGTCACTCTCCTACATCCCCGCGCTCAGGTCTTGTGCTGTCCAGCTCCAAGAAAGCCGAGCGACAGCGCACTGCGGCGCTTTATGGATCGTCGCTGATCTATTTGGTGTCAGCTAGTTTCCGAGGACGTCTCGAGACGCGGCCCGTGGTTGGCTTTTATAACTCGACTTGGCGCAAACGGTACCTTGTGCTGCCGTATACAGCACAGCAGAGGCAGCTGGTTGAAAGCGTAGCGTTTCGAATCCTGCCAGCCACTGGAAGTCGACGCCAACTTGGAGACGAAATTTATTATGGGGACAGAATTATCTTGGAAGCTGTGGTGGACGGTAACAGCGACAATGACGAGAAGATTGCAAGAGAAGAGTCGCTCTCCAGAGAGGAATCGGCGGGAACTCCCACCGCTGATGCGGCAAAGACAACCCAGCCGACTCTCATCCGAAAGTACGACCAGCTAGGCGCTAATGGCTACCTAGGCCCGGAAGGGTCCGCTGGGGCTTTCGAAACGACGATCTGGAAGCACGGAAGCACCATGTTTAACTCAGACAAGAGCGTCATCTACGATCGAGAGCTGATCGTGTTCGAGGAGCTTACGATATATCGTTCGTTCAGCAAGGGAAAGAAGTTTGGCGTGGCTGATGCTACTGGCCAGCAAATGGACTTTAACTCGGCTCGATCGGGACCCCAAGCCGAGGGTGCGCATACGGTAGATACTACAGGCGCACGAGGAGGCGGGTATCTGATGTATAACGGAGTTGGCGATGCACCAATCCCGTTCGCCTTGTCGATTGTTTCGAGCAAAGCTAGATCTAGATTCACGCGGTGCGAGGAGACGACCAGCTCTCCCGTTGAAGATGGCGAAGCTGCCACCGGTACTGTCGCTGATGGTGGTGCCAATGCCGGTGCTGATACGGATGGCGACGGTGATGCAGTAGACACTGCTGATGTTATTGAGGAAAACAACAGCCCCCCAAAAAGAAATCAGAGGAAGAAGAGGAGGAGAAAACGCAAGTCGCTGTTTGCGTATTCTTCTTTTCTCGAGAACTTGAAGATATTGGAGTTTACACTGCCAGGTGTGAACGCGACAGTTGTGAACGACTTCCACAACATGCTTCTGCCGCTGCTTCATTTCCGCGTGGCGACATTACATGCGGATATCCGAGGGAGATTGGAAGACAAGTTCACAGCACTAGCGAGTCTACGCTTTGGAATCCAAGCCTATAACTCTCAACTGGCTGTGTGGGAGCCTGTACTCGAAGACTTTGAGGTGAACATGGCATATCATGGGAAGGGTGGCGTGCTGTGCGACTACTGCATGTCTGAGAGGCAGTCGGTGTCTCTTACGGGTGCTGCACTGCGCTGTGATGGAATGCCGCTGTGTCTTTTCCGCTCTTCTCGGACTGAGGTGCTCACTAAGGCTGCTGCGCATTCATGGGAATCCAAAAACTTCATTTATCGCGAGCTACTGGAGCAGCCGGATGTTCAAGATGGCGCCAAACTGGCGAACACGTTCATGATCGTGGTGAAAGACGACTTCAATATCAACGTCTCACGCAATGTGGTCAATGTGCTGGTGCATTTTTTCGCTTTAGTGACCAAGGTGACTGCAGCTGACGAGGCCTTATCATCGCGTCTCGGTCCATTTATTTATGTGGACAACCAGTCTGGTATCCCGTTCGTAATTGCGACGCACCCATCGTCTTCAAGTGGTGCGCCACCCACGGCGGGGGGAACTCCCTCATCTTCGCGACGACCTACGAGCTCCATTGAGATGCCCACTGAAGTGCCGGGTGCTGATACCAATGACGATATTATGAAAACTGGGACAGCAATGTTTAACAGCAACGCCTGGAGTCGCCGTCGACTCACAACGATGCTGAACGACATTTCTTCGTCAGATACGAAGTGGATCCGTGTTGATAGTGGGGAACGCGTTGCAACTGAAATCGTAGCTCATGAAGCGCCGGCAGGGTGTGTGACATCGCCGCTGCGTCGACTGCTGTGGCTGAAGCCGCAGTCTGCCTCGCCAAGAACGACCTCTTCCAAGGCGATTCCAGTGCCGATTGGATATTCCAACCGGAGCTATCTTCACCTAGAGAGCAGCGGCAAACAGCGCGATTCGTGGCATGGCGAGAGTATCATATGCGAGACCGTGGCAGAGCAAGGCACACTCGTCCTACGACTTCGAGGTAAGATCCAGCTGACGAATTTCTTCAGTGTCCCCATTCAAGTGATCTACAACGACCAACGCGAGGAGACGATAGAGCCCGGTGGCAAGACAGCTCACTACATCCCCATCCAGTATCTGGAGTCCGGGACTGTTGCGTTTCGTCCGCTGCTATCGAACGGAAAGGTTCAACATTCGGAGCCGCTTTCGATTGCGTCTCTGCTGCGGTCAAATGATGATAGCAAGACCCGAGGTCGCTCAAACCGCAGGCAGAACGTTGGCTCGCTGGAACTGCGCAAGGCCTTGACGTTTTATTGGGATGTCCATCCGAGCTCGTGGGGTGACGATGTTCCAGATTTCACGTTTGGTGTGTCGTTACCACCGTTCCAAGTGATTTTGACTGCTTTACGGAAGTCGGAGCGCCACGAGACTACGATCACATTGCGTCCGCCTATTGTCCTGGAGAACCTCGTGCCTTATGAATTGTCGTATCGTACTGTGTGCATGAAATCGGAAGCTGAGGTTGTGTGGGTGGCAAAAAATGCCGCTGCTTTCTCGGGTGTCAACGGGAAGGTGTCTTCCGGGAGCTCGGCTTGTGTGGCTGAATTGGATGTCTTGGAGCGAGACCTGGATAGCAGAGAGATCGTGCAGACCCCAACAGTTGTCGGGCTGAGTCTCGCACTGCCTCAAATTCAGCTGGGGAGATTCTCACGTTGGTCCAGAGACACGTTCATCTACGGCTGCGAGTCGTTCTGTGAGCGAATCGAATTAAACATGCGCGACGATAGTGAGTTCGAAGCGCCTACTCCAGCGAACAAGCTGACGATATGTGTGGAGATCACGCAGCTGGAAAAGCTACGCTCACGTGCGCTGAATACGCTCTGCCCCGTAGTGTGTCGGGTGTTCACAGAGTACTGGCTGATCGACCGGACATCGCTGTCACTCGCTTTCTACACTGCCGACGACTACCTTATCCCGTCCAATCACCCAGGTCGTTTGTATGACGACGACAAGAGTGATGCCGAGAATGAATCGCCCTCGGTGTCGCTTTCTGTGTTTTCCTGCGAGAGCAAGCAGGTGGTGTCCAAGATGAAGATCGGAATCAAGGGAGATAAAGGGGAACGTGAAGTGCAGTCCGAGCCATTTGACATCAGTGCTGTGGGGGTACGTGGACAGATCCTGGTGCCCACGAACCGGTCTCGAGATGCCCGGTCTCTGCTTTCTACAATTGCAGAATTCGGAGCCCCGTCAGACGGACTGAGGACGACCTTCAAGCAGTACGAATTCGGTGTCATGATCGAGCAAGGACCCGACAAGTTCTCGCGATCTCGTGTCGTGACGTTGGTTCCACGATACTATTTCATCAACACTTCCAACAGGCTTGAAATTCGCATTCGACAGGAACGTTCAGCCGACCCGAGTGCTGCGATTGTGCTGCGCCCACAGGAGACCAAAATCTTCCACTGGAGCGACTCGCGCTTGCCCTCACGAGTTCAGATTTGCTTCGTGCTTCCAGATAATCGGCACGATGAGCGTGACACTGTCTCGTATGCGAACTCATCGCAGTGGAGTGCCCCGTTCGAGCTCTCATCAGTGGGCAACTTCGTGCTGCGTGTAAAGTCAAAGGTTCGACCGGCGCCGCCATGTCTTCCGGAATGCTTTGAAGGCAATGTTGGCAAGCGTGAACTAGTCGAAGATGACGAAGAAACACATTTGTTCTTCGATGAAGAAGACGTGTACAGCGATGTAGAACGCGTGCTAGCGGATGGAATTCAGTTGAATGTAGCGGTTGAACTCCACGATCCGTCGTTCTTGGTGTACCTGGAGGAAGGGAAGCCGTCCGTTCACTCGTCTCCTGTCTCTTCGTACGAATACCAAGAGGGTGATCGGGAGCATACGCTGACTGTTAAGAATAAGGAGAATGAGGGATTTGTACCGTTCAAGATAAAGAACGAGTGCAGCAACTTGGCGCTAGTTGTGTGGCAGAAAACGCTGGTGAAGGACGACAAGGGGAACGTGACGATCGGGTTTGAAGGTGGAGACGCTGTTCTCCCTTTCCACACGATCGACTACGTGCCATTCCGCTTCTCTGCGTTCCCAACTGTGTTTGTACAGGTCCAAAAAGTGGCAGGATTGGGTATTGGGGCACTGAGGAAAGAGCATCCACTTCATGGGCGTCGCTCGGATACGTTGGCCTCAAAGTCTTCAGCCGAAAAGGACGCGCCAGCTACTGCGCTTGCCCGAGCTGCTACCGTGGGCCAAACCCAAGTCGTTGCGAGCTTTGAAGTGCAACTGAAAAAGCTTCAGCGTCTACCAACGATCGACGTGTCTGAGGGTGTAGTAAAGAAGCGCTTGTGGGCTGAAGTATTGCTGGATGAAACCACGAAAACGCTGCTGGTGACTGATATGCTTCCTGGTTTCTCTGGGGAGCACAAGCGACGGCGACGAGCTACTCTGCTTCGCAGTTGGAAGCGCTACAACACGTCGATCGTGTTTATTTCGCATGTCCTCGCGGCGCACAGAGCCCAACTGGCGGATGGATGTGATGACGACAACGTACAAGACGCGCCTGCCAAGAAGAAGCGTGTGCGTTTCGCATCAGACGTCGCCGAGGTGAAGGGGAAGTCTGGTTCGGACGAGGTTGGGGCTGCGAAGGCAGCACGACAGGCCGAAGCTTCCAACACACCACCGTCAATCGAAGAAGAGAAAGAGGTGGAAGCGTTGGTTCTCTGCGTTCGACTCGTGGAGGCTACGTACCTAGAAGATGTGTTCCTACAAGCGGGACGCAGCGACTTGACGTCGTGTCAGCCTTTTATTACGTTCTCACTAAAGACCGACGGCGAAGAAGCTCGGACGAAGCTCGTTCCTCAGTCGGCGACGATGTTTCCGCGGTGGCTGCCTGCACCTCATTTACGTGCAGTTTTAAGTGCATTAATGTTGAGTGATGGCGGTGAAGAGAGTTCCAGTCACGAGTTCGGTGCTGGTGCAGAGATCATTGTGGAGATTCGAGAAGCAGATAAGATCCTGTTCGGCTCTTCTGTCATTGCAACTGCGCGTATTCCGTTGCAGGAGTATTGTGCTGCTGCTATGATCTCGACTAGAAGTGGAGCCATTAACGAGCTGCAAGTGGTGGAATTCCTTGCTCCTGTTCGTGTGGCTCGGAAAGGTGGAGGTTGGTCTCGTCCAGTGGAAAACGAAGCTCGTATTCGCTTCCAGATTTGCTGCCGGCGGACTCTCACGACTCGATTGACTGCTGCCGAGTCTAGTGGCGAAGGCAGAGAGAGTCTGGACACAGTGAAGGAGTTGAAGGATTCGCTGTCGGCATACACTATGAAGAAGGAATTAGACGTGCTCGTCAGCTCCAGATCGCAGCTCAAACTCTTGCTAGAACGCGAAGCTGTGGATACGTCAACGAGTGGCACCAACATTCCAGCAGCGTTGCGATCCGTGCCCGATTCTTCGTCGGGAGAAGAGGAAAAGAACTCGGGGCTTTCTCGATTCGTTGCTCAATCTGCTGGTTCAGACGATGACAGTCTCGAATCTCGTAGTAGAAGCACCAGCTCGGTCCGAGGCTCTGCTGTATCGGCGACTACCGATGAAGCAACGAGCGATGGCACATACGAAGAGATGGGAGACGAAAAGCGGTTGTCTGCCGTTCTAATTGGCGTGTCGAACCTCCAAATTCCCACGGAAATTATTCGGAATAACTTCAAGCATACGCATGGAACAACTGATAATCAGGGGCCAAAGGTCTATTGCACGATCACGTACCAGGAGTCCACACGTTCGGCTCTGTCAGCAGTTGCCAAGTCTTCCACTGCTTCAGTAGCAGCATCGGACCAGAACAGCAACGCTGATGATAATGGATCTTCGTCGCCCAGTGGATCGTCAATGACGGGACCACCAGGTAGCAATGCTCATCTGCAACAGGTTCGCACTCACAAGCTCCCGAGAGGCCAAAAGCTGGGACTCGATCTAGTGTATCGCAATGGACGTGTGCTGGTGCAGGGTGTAGTTTGTGATGGCCCATGCGGAACTCTCGTCTACGAAGGGAAGATTCGGATTGGTGACACAGTCGTCGCAGCTAACAACAAGTCCATCGTGAATCTTCACCGTGACGCGTCCTTCGCTGTGATTGAGAAGGCGATGCATTGGGGGGAGGGCATTGGAAGAGCTACTCCAGAGCAAGCATCTGCGACGTTTACTCTGTCTTTCCTGTATCAAGCGACGACACCAGAGCGCATGGCATTCAGGGATACGTCGAGGCCTCCGTGCGCTCAAACGGCAGACGAAGACGCTGGCGTCCGGAAGTATGATGCAGAGTGGAATCGCCGCGTGGAATTTGTCGAAACAGCCAATAAGAAACCTACTGCGGGCGCTGGCGAAGAACAGGTGCTAGTGCGTGTTTACTTGCGGAACGAGACCTCCGACCACGGGCTGTCAGCCTCACAGGAGTCCAGTATCGTGCCGTTCCTGTACTTCTTCGGTGACGACGCTATGATGGATCATCTCGATCACAGCAAACAGGACTCACGCTTCGATGTACTGTTAGCTGAGTGCTGGGTACCGCTACCTCCGTCTTCTCTCTCTAGCGCCGCTAATCCGATGTCGATGGACGGGAACCCGTTGGCTGAGTCATCTGCGCTCACCTTTAATGAACGTATCTGTGCGTTGTACTCGCCACAGCAGCGCGCGCACCAACACTCGGCGTTAGAGATGATTGGGCAGCTACGACTAGCACTCAAGTGGGATTTCATCAACCCCTTGCGGGCTGCTCATGAGCAAGGAGATCTAAGTCTGCATTTCCAGCTTGAAGTGGCACGTATCTGCATCTCCGTTGTGGATGATGGTGCATGGAGTTCCGTGGCGTCTGCTGCAGGGCCTCAGCAACCGCAAGAGGTACTGTGCATCTCGCTCTCTGATCAAAACGCTTCTGCTGGCGTTCAATTGAGCTTCGGCCAGATAACGGATGGGAAACAAGTCATCAATGCACGCATCGGGCATTTCCAGATCGACAATCAGCTGCTCGATACAAATTACCCAGTTCTGCTGCGTCCGATGCGTCTTGTAGACGCACAAATGCAAGAAGAAGGCTACACGATGGCGCGCGAGAAAGGAGGGAAATGTAATGATGGGGATGGCCCGATGCTGTTGCCGACAGTGCAGCTCATGGCGGTCTTCAGTCGGCAGCCTAATGTGATCCAGTTCGAATACATTTTTGGTCAGCTGCAAGAGCTGGAGATCAAGCTGGAAGACGCGACTCTTGTGGCATTAGCCCATGTGTTCTCAGGGGTGGAATGGTCGCACACGGCGTCGACAGCTCGTGCTACCAAGAAGAAAAAGCGACCTGGAGATGAATTTGGCTCTAACTTGGCGTTGAAATTGTTGGAGATCGAATGGTCTACCCCCACGTTGCTGTCGACAGCTGCGGGTGGGCGCTTGGGTAGTACCAGGAATGGTGGAGGGGCAAACATGAAGGTGCTGTTGCGATGGCTCTTACTTTGTCCTGTGAAGGTCAACGTGACTTTTACTAGTACCGCAGACCGATCGCTGCTGTTGTCACTGGTGCGTGAAGTGATTATTGGCTGTCTTGAGGTATCATAGTGCTAACTCTCTGTACTTGTGTGCTTGCAGCTGTCTCCGGATATGTCGTCGGTGCTAAGCACTCTCATCAGTGCAGCAGCCGCACTAGTATCCAATCTGGACCAAGCACCGATTCGAGTTCCGGAGTTTTACGTGGAGAATCTGCTCGAAACAACGCACACACTGGCCTTCTACGCCATGCAGCACTACTTGCACCACGGTTTGCGCAGCTGGTACAGTATCATGGGCTCCGTAGACTTCCTGGGAAACCCGATCGGTCTTGTGAGCACGCTCGGTACTGGCGTCAAAGACTTCTTTTATACACCAGCTCAGATGCTGCTGGAGGATGAAAACGGTCTGCGGATCGACAATTTACGAACTGGCATGACGAAAGGCTCTAAAAGTTTGTTGCGGAACACAGCGGTGGGCATCTTCCACACGACTGGCAAAATAACGGAGACGCTCGGAAAGGGGATCGCGTTGCTGGCTATGGATGAACAGTACAACGTCCAGAGACAACGAGCGTCAACCCGACAGGTCAAGAAGATCAACGACTTGGGTGATGCCATTGCTGAAGGCAGTAAGGGACTCGTAGGAGGTGTGTGGGATGGCATCAAGGGTGTCGTGGCTGCTCCAGTACGTGGCGCAGAGCAAGACGGTGCTGGCGGATTCGTCGTGGGCATCGGGAAGGGCGTCGCGGGGTTAATCGTGAAGCCTACTGCTGGATTCTTGGACTTGCTTACGAGTCTGTCTCGAGGAGCGAAAACAAGTGCAGAATCTTTGGATGGCACAGATCGCAATGCGTTTGACACGGTCACACGCTTCAGACTTCCTCGGCGTATCTGGTACGGAAAAGTAAAATGTTTCCTTGTTTAAAGTAGAAATACCGGTGGTTGGGATGGCCATTTAATGCTTCGTTGATTTTCTGCAGCTCGGACGGCGTGTTAGTGTCTTACTCGGATCGAGAAGCTCGAGGCTATGCAGTGTTGCTCCTGACGTCGCTGGATGCCACTGACGAGTACGGACCAGCTTTATCAGACGCACTGTTTGCGAGCAATCATGACTAATACTTGTGCCTTTGGATGTGTTTGTACATGTACAGCTACGTTTATCATGTGGACTACGGCATCGAGCCACACCGCGGACTTTTGTTGCTCACAGACAAGCGCCTTATTTGTTTAAGTGGCAAAACTGGACAGAAGTTGTGGGAAGTTGCTCTGGACTCAACTCTGGAGATGGTCGTTGAAGGCGCCACGCTCAAAATTGGGCAGACTACGTCACCGTCTCGGTCCTACCATATCGAATGCGACAATGAAGTAGCAGCAAGCAATTTCCGCGTTGCTGTGGATTCAGCACGTGTAGATGTGTCGGCCACTCGGTATTTACTTCTGAATCTGGAAAAAGGCCAAGAAGAGTCTCGCATAATTGGTGGTGGACGTTTCGGAAGTGGAGCGGCCGGCCTTTTAAACAACGACGAAGACCGCACCGACTTGCATGTGCTGATGGAAAGCGTGCAGGATACGACAGTCTCTGGACTCTCGAACGACGATCTGCGGTCTCAACCTCTACGCTCCGTGCGTGTCGAAGTGTGCCATCTACAGAACAAAGATGCGCACGCCAATGTCCCGAACCGAACGATCGATAAACTGCTATCGTTCAGCGTCTTCCAGATCCAAGTGTACGGCGGGCCGTACCAATGGACAGTGTTCCGTCGGTTTAGCGAGTTCCGCGAGTTATGCGCGACGCTGGAGACTGCAGGGTACGTGTTGGATGGACTTCCGCCGCTCCCACCACGAACTTTCCTCCCAAGCACACGAGCGCCGGTGGCGAAGTATCGACAAGAAGCGCTAAACATGTTCCTACAGGCGGCAATCATGCACTCTGCCATCAGCCGAAGTGCAGCCATGCTCAGCTTCCTCACGTGTGAAGCTCGTGAAGTGCGAGTGAGTCTGCCCCCGCTGTCTCCTACTGGTGAGCGAGAAGCCTCTCAACGCGCTGGAGACTCGCCCTGAAATTGCCACGAGTGAAGTGCCCGACAAAGTGTCGATTCGGATTGTGTAATGGATACTGTATAGAATTGTATGATGGTGTATACTAAGTATTGGGAAGTCTTAAGGTGCTCGCTGCAGCAGCTTCGCCTGCGACTGGAGAACTCGCTCGTAATCTGTGCAGAGATGGTCAAGCAGCATACGATTCGAGAGCACAACTCGACCAAACTCATCCGTTGCAACCTCCACAAACTCCACCACGTCCGGTACTTTGTGGCAGTTGCCTAGAGTCTTGAGACCGACGTCGTCGCCGGTTTCTAGCGATGGACCCGGAGCGATCACTCGATTCAGATAGAGGATGCGTCCAGGGGGAAACAGCGGATCGTGAAGCAGCGTGTGATCTTCCTCTGCTTGTTTTTGGTCCTGGGCGAGCTGCTCCCGTTCCTGCTGCGTTTCTTCACTTGATTCTCCCTCAACTCGCTCTGACGATTTGGAGTCTGTAAAAATCTCACCAAAGCTCTCGTTCTTGTCCAGAAACGCGGCTGCATGGGTGGGCTTTTTCGACTCGTCTTCACTCTTCAACCCCTTTAAAAACGGCAAATTGAGTGAAATCTTCCCCGCGACGTCGTCCAGTTCGTCCTGTACGATGGAGCTCAGAGCTTCCGTTTCTTCCTTAATCGTGTCGACATAGTTTTTCACATTAGAGCTGACAGCCGTGGATACCTTGGACCTGCGAGAGGCGATACAAAAACACTAGTTAGTCCACTGAGAGTCTTACTACCTGACGAGAAGATGCCGTACACTTGCTCACTTATTCGTGACTTAAGCGACGCACGAGTCTTGTCTATGACATCGTCGATTCGAGAACGAAAGAGCTGCAGCTGAGAGGATTCGGAAGTGGTCTCTACAATACACAAGACCAGAATTCAGTTGTCTTGTCTTTCAGACAATAGCAGTACGATGATCGAAGTACCAAGATCACTGTCGCTCTTCAACAACTTCTTCGTAGATTTGGACGTCTTGTGAAGCACCTCCTTCAGCTTCACCAACACGCGCTCCAGCTCCTCCGGCTTGTTGACGGCAGCTGCCAGTCGCTCTAGAGCAACAACACTCTCATCCATGCGTTTCCACCAAAACGAATCGCCTACCTCATCATGGGAACCGCGCTCAGGTATTACAACGAGGAACAAAAGCAACAATCTCGAATAAAACTTTCACCTTTCTTGACGTCTTCAAGTTTTAGCAGGTTCTTGATGAACGAAACGTGCTCCAACGACAGTTTGTCCGTCTTGAAAACAGAGAAAGCGGCGTCCAGTTTGCCGGATAGAAGCGAATCAACGTCGCTAGCGAATTCCTTGATGTTGTGGGAAGCAAACTGCATAGCAAAGATACCAACGACAAATATCGTTAACGAGAGCTCCACCTCGTTAAAAAAAAGACACCAATCACCAAAACTCATGCCTTTTTCATCTCGTTGAGCTTGGCGGTGGCTTCGCTCGTACGCTGCTTCAACTGTAGGTGGTCCATCTTCCTCATCGCCGTCTGGATTTCCTCTAGCTTCGCACGCTGCTGTGCCTCCACTGCAAGTTTCTGCTTACGCATTTCCTCCGACACCATGCGTCTCAGCGCCGTTCGCCAGTCAAAGCGACTGATCTCGTCCTGCAGCTTCAAAAGCGAGTGCTGGTGCAGTCGGGGCACACAGTCATACCCGTTCACGACCGAAGTGACAAGATCATAACTGCCCGTCGCCAGTTCTCGCGTCAAGCACGCCGGTGTACCGAAAGCATAACAATGAATATCCGGGAAGTCCTCCTTTAGCTGCAAGGCGCTCATAGCTGCGACTGCCGCTCCAAGACTGTGACCCGTTGCTACCAGCTTGTAATCCGGATACTTTTCCGACAACTTCTGCAGGTCGCTGCGCAGATGACGCACCAGCCACGTCGTCGCGTGCACCATGCCACGATGGCCCTGTCCATCTAGGAACGACTCATTCTGTAGACATAAATCCGTGCAGAAATCCAACAGCGATGCGGTGCCTCGCACCACCAGAAGGAGCTCGTGATGCTCGTGATCAGCTAGGATGATGCACCTGGGAGACACGACGCCACCCGGGTGCGCCCGCAGGACTCTATCCCGCGATACACCAGCCTCTTCACAAAATGAAGCGATCGAGGACGCGTACACGGCGTCGCACACGCGCACGTATCGCAGAAGATTGGAAAGCAGCACCTGCGTGGATTGCATACTTTTGTCATTAACTTCATGAGCTAGCATTTGTTTTCACTAATACAGTACCTGATCCATGACAAGCGGCTTTTTATGGGCTTCATTATGGATTCCGCCTGCTCGCTGCTGAGTCTTGTACTGTGCTAAGACAGAGAGACCGACCAGCCAATCAGATGCGCTCCAGTTCTTGAGTGCAGGACTCTGACGTAGCAGGCCCAGGCTCTCGGATAACACCTTGAGCGCCGGCAGAACCTCAACGGACAGCTCTTTGGCCGTCGCACGCAGTCGTTTGCCCAAAATCTCATCCAGATCCAACCGTCTTGAGGTGCTCAACGTCGCTCTTAGTAGCCCAGCCCGCACTCGACGCCGCATTGATTGAAGTGTGTGATTACACCACTTCAGTTGTCAAATTTAATCCAATCAGACATCACAACGTCTCCAATTGGATGAAACCTTCCACTTCGAAAGAAAAAGAAGCAGGAGGCAAAAAGCGCGACTTCACCGGCTCGACTTGTGCTCTACTCCACGACCCCCTTGGTGAAGACCCGGCTGTAGGTATGGGCGAGCGCTCCACCAAGAAGTTCAAGGTCGTCCTATTAGGCGAAGGTTAAATGATTCACTCTTGGTTGCCTCCGTCCCCCCTTCCCCCCTTCTAACTACTGCCTCTCTTTCCGCAGGTCGCGTGGGTAAAACTTCCATTCTGCTACGCTACATTAAGGGCGAGTACGACGAGCGGCAGGTATCGACACTACAGGCTTCGTATTTAGATAAGCGACTGCTCGTGGACAATTGTCGTGTGGCGCTGTCGCTCTGGGACACAGCGGGTCAAGAGCGTTTCCATGCCTTAGGCCCCATCTATTATCGAGACGCCGATGGAGCACTACTAGTCTACGACATCACAGACGCCGAGTCTTTCCGCAAAGTTCGCACGTGGGTGCGAGAACTGCGTCGTATTGTGGGGGACGACATTTCCATCTGTATCGCCGGTAACAAGAGCGATCTCCACCGCAACCGGAAGGTTCCTGAGGACGAGGCAAAACGCTACGCTGAGTCGGTGGGAGCTGCGCACTTCGACACGTCTGCTAAGCTCAATCGAGGTCTTGAAGATGTGTTTGTAGAGCTCACACGTCGCATGTTGAATCGCACGGGCGGCAAGAAGAAGAAAGGGAGCGCGTTAATTGCCGACGATGATGATGATGAGGATGACGAGCCATTGGCTAAGCCCCCGACCAGCAAGGGAAGGCCGCAGCCACATACGAAACAGACGCAGCCAATGCAGACGCAAGCACAGGTCCACAGGACAGAGGAAGTGCCGAGAAGTCGTGGAGGAGGAAGGGGACAAGCTATTCAAATTGTGGAGGACGACGACGTCGGATTCAGTCCCGGAGCGTCGAGAAGTAGCGGGCTGAGAGTGAGAGGAACCACCCACGTCGACACTGGCAAGGCCAAGAGCGGTTGTTGCTGATAATGGAGAAAGTGGAGATTCTTTTTTGAAAAAGAGTGCAGGAAAAAGTATGGGAGGGCGCCTGGCGAGGAAACAAACAAAAAAACAAGAATGCTTATTGCTTTTTTAGGCTTTGTATACGTGAAGATAGCTGCATATTGTACTGGATTATACATGTACTTCGAAGTACTACGTAGTACTACAGTGCCTGCGATAATTAACCCTTCAAGAAAAAATTATGGACAAAAAATGTTGGTACTGTAGAACATAACAGAGACGCTGCGGAAAAAGGGCTAGTTCATTTAGTTGCCATCTCAATCAACAAGCGTTGATCATTGGTCAAAATAGAAAACGTACCCATTAAATGGGTTGACGAAAACACTATCATATCGCGTAACTAGCAGGCTCGATCCAAATTTAAAGTAGAATCCACAATACAATGGAATTTAATGTACATCACACAAAACCTTCGCCAGCCAATCGTCCTTATTTCAAACAAGTTTGTTTGACAACTCGCACGCAACCTACGAATCGTACGACCAACATGGACGCGAAGACGACGCGCTTCTTAACGCAATTCTCGTGCGCTGTGTTCCAGCAGTGGGCGCAAACAACCGAACGCGAGCAATTCTGGGAGAATGGTGCTTTTTTGCGCGAGATGTTGGAGGAGGCGGTGGCCAAGCTGCCGCCTGGAAAACTTAAAGCGCAACTGGCACGGGATTTGACGTCTCTGGAGACGCAGTTGGCCTCACTACTGCGTGAGTTGCACGTCGAATATGTGGAGGATCAGCAGAAGGAACCGCAGCAAACGTATCAGACGCGCGGTGCGCCGCTGAACGAGGTGACGACGGAGCTGGAGCTGGCACAAGGGACCGCTGACAAACAGCGCAGACTCGTTGGGGTGCTAGCACTAGACGCAGGCATCGATGGGGCACTGCAAGCGGCTGATACACCAGACATGGATGCCGAGAAGATCGCACAGATATTTGCGCTAATCGCGGCGCGCAGCTACGAATCACCACAACAGCAGCAGCACAAGCGAGGCCTTGTGCTGAGACGTCTGGCAGCGTCTGTGAAACAGCAGATAGAGAAATTGCCGAACAACTGGAGTTGCAGCAAAGACGACGATGCATCTAAGCAGGTGCAACATCTTCGTGATCTGCTGGAGCGCGTTGTGGTTCAGTACGCGGTGGCGCTGGATCGGGTTGCTAGTAAGGAGGTGGTCAGTTCTGCGGGGGACTTGGCAGCCCCGTGGACGGCATTTTACCGTCCGGAAGAGAGCGAGGAGCTGAAGGTTGTGGACTACGATGGAGAAATGGCTAACATCTACGGCGCGCTGCTCGCGCTGGCAATTTATTTCCCAATTGAAAGCGATAATCACGATGAGAAGACGTCGGACGAGTCTTCCGCTTCGGAGGACGAGGAGCAAGAGCAGACATCGAAGCAGAACTCACAGAAGCGGAAGCAATTGAGTAGTATTACGCAAGCTCAGCTTACAACTCGACAAGTACTGCTGGCCGCCCAGATGCACCAGCGTGGACGTCACCAAAACAATCAGTGGCTCGTATCTGTTCTGACCTTCGTGCACGATTTGTCCAAGCCTACGACTTACCTAGATGATGATGAGGAGGAGGCTTTCGAGAAACAGGACCGACTTGCACTGCTTGACTGTCTCGGCCAAGTTTATTCGCGCGCGTTCGCTAGTGTGGCTCTGTTCGACCAATCTAAAGAGAGTGTTACAGCAGATAAAGTTGCACTGCTGGATCGTGCGCTTATCGAGGCCGTAGTGTGTGTGCGTCAAGCGGCAGAGTTCATGCGTGCTGAGCTTAAGTCAAGTCTACCGGCCATCACCACGGCTTTGGCTCATCTGGCCGGTGTGCCACTTTCTGTGGGCTTCGTGTCTTGGTTGGACCACGAGCAGACAGCGAATCCCAAGTCTGTGTTTGAGAAGGCTACACAGCGGTTATGGAAGAAATGCATAGACCAGAACCAGATGGTAAACATTCTGCTGAGTTCAACTGACATGACGACGGAGGAGCTTCTTCTTGTTCAGAAGGTGAGTTGTCTTGGCTGCATTGAAGTGTTGATCCTTGCTGCATGGTGATTCTAACGTGTTGGCTGTACAGAGCTACACTGCGTACTTGCAGAGAATGGCTGAGGGCAACTCGGACAAGCCAAAGCCTCAGGTAGATGCGGCTGAAGTTGTAGAGGAAGCCGCTGCGGACGCGTCTAGTCTGTTTTACGTGGATAACGCTGGCGGAGAAAATGAAGAAAAACTTAGTAAGTCAAAGAAGAGGCGTGCGACCAAGAAGAAGAGGCGTGCGAACAAGGACGCGATATCGCCCTCGAAGCGCAGTCGAACCTCTAACCTTAGCAACTAGGCTCTAGCATCTCACAAATTCACATTAGAGAACTGTAGTTTCTGAGGAATATCTACATGTACTACAGTACTTAACTCCGGTCGCTCCAAACCAAATATTTTTTACCTTTTTTTATTGGTCCAAATGGTTCTTTTGTGGTCGCTTGATGGTACCCGCCGCTAGTAGCTAAATGGGTGGTTATCGTGGTGCTTAGACGCGTGTGGAAGGCACAGTTCTCTAGCTCATTTAAGAATGGCGCGTTCGCGAGACGAGGGGATCTGGGCACACTTCAAGAAGCACCCAAAAGGCTCGTATAAAAGACTCCACAGGTGGGGTGCAAATTGCGCCACGTCCAAAAATCATGTTGAGCTTACTCACGATCCAAGACCATGGATTGTGGAGTACTTATGCGCTGACCTGGTGAGAGAGAGACATAGCAAGCAGGGAACGTAGTTTAGTAGACTACTATTAATACATGTACCAGTACATGTACGTAGTAGAAGTAGGAGTAGTAGTCAGTAGCTGTGGCTAAACAATGGACTTCCCAAGAAATACTGTAGTACATGTAGTATGCACGTCTATTGGCTTATAAACCAAAACAGGAGAATAAAGCCGGTTTTTAAACCAGTTTAAAAAAAACAAATATCAACACTTTAATTTACCTGGTCATATCAGGTACGAAAGGTTTTATTTAAATACTGTATTACCGGTAACCTGAGGACACAATTAAAATTATAGATTGGTACATATGATTAAGCATAATAAATTACAGTGGTCACGGTAATGAATCTCATTGAAATTATTTTGTGTGGAGTAATTGTTTTATTTCACACAGCAATTGATCTCCGTGAGAGTATTAATGAACTCCCATTAAATAATGTTTGGTAAAATAAATCTCATTGCTATTATTTTATGTAGCCCTGAAATTAATCTCACATCTACATGTCTGCATAAATTATACCTGAAGGTAAAAAAGTTTCAGTTGTTGGAATGTCACTGGACTGTACAGTGGCAGAGAGAATTATAAAAAAAAAACATCATGAAATGAAGAAGGATTAGACACAAGTACGTGCAGTCATATAATTTAGAGCCACAGCCAATTGGTAAATAGAAACAGTGAAACTTTTCTTAAGTACGAACATCAGTGTTTACAGCCGAGCAACCAACGGATGCCAATTATTGGGTCAGAACATTCCACAGAGCATAAATCACCACAGACCTAACTCTAAAAGGGACAATTGACACCCGATGCACTGCTGCTGCGGCACTTGAACTCACAATGCAGCGATTGGCTAGGGCGATCATTAACGACTGCACCATAAGCAAACCCGATAGTGAGTACAAGATATCACCCACAACTGAGATTATAAATGAACTCTGGAAAAGTTTGCTCACGTGAATTATTCTCAACAAACTTGAGTGAGAATATTTAGTGTATGAGATTATTTATCAACTTAGATTAATTACCGTGACCACTGTAGCCGAAAAAAACGTTTTTAATCAGGTATTTTTAGCCTGGGACATTTTTAAACCAATAAAAATGTTCAACAAAGTTAAAGAGAAAGGACACGACGCACTAAAAGCAAAATGTAATGGGCCATTGGGATGGCGGATATTGCACCGATTGAGCTGCTAAAACCTGAATCTTACGTTGTTGACAAGAGGATAAACTCAACAAGGGTCGACGCCTTCGCACAATGCTATTTCAGCCTCTCTAGGAGTGTCCAGTCCATTTAACCAAATGTTGCTCAAACTGACCCAGTTTTAGATCAATAAAAAACTGATTTTTTTGTTTGATTCGCGAAAATCCATAGACGACCAACAGAACTTCAGGTCAGCCTGTGAATGTTTGTGAAGTTTCGATTTACAGCGATAAACCACCTAGGCCCTACACTACCTGATTCTATATGTGATCCTTGCCTGGCACTTCGTTTAGTAAACGAGATTTTGGTTGAAGATGGCCGCAACGCCAACGTGTCAGGCAATAGGTGCTAGCTAAGGCGATGTGTTAAGACTACCATTAAAGTCATTGACACACTCACTTTTCGATTCCCCGCGTAGAGAACGAATAACCATGGTCACTGCTCAAATCCCCAGAGAAATGACTCGCCGTGAGGGGAGAATGACGCCAGAGCATGCGCTCCAGAGTGTCGCGACGCTGCGCTGCCTAAACACCGACCGACTGGCTGGTTGATCCGCCGTGGTGCTTTTGCATCGCGCCGACACGGACGATGAAGCAGACTCTCCGTCTCCACTCTCCAACTCCTACCTAAACATGGACGAGGAGAGCGTATTGACCTTTACAAATTATGGACCGGTGTAGGTAGACTGGCTGTGGAGCATAGCGCGCGACACCGTGAATTGGAACACGGGACGTGGTCGTAAGTGCGCATATAGCGGAAAGAACGTTCTTTTCATGCTTTTAACTGCCCTAAAGAACTGTGGTAAGTGGGATGTCGTAAGAGCGGTATTTCGTGTGAGGTCTCCTTAGTTCCAGAAAATGGTGACCAAGTTTGCATCCGTTCTGTCTCCGTTTCTCTACGAGGTGATGGTAGCGTCTGCGTTGGAAAACTACCCGATGAAGAAGCTGGTGCTGGGCGGCCAAGCCTTTTCCAAATATTGGTACGCTCGGTACGCAGCCGATGTCACCTTCCAGCAGTCAAACATGCCGGCTGGTCGCATGCAAGAACGCTCGATGTATTACAGCAAAAAACACCATCTGCACGGCTAAAAGACGGAGGTGTCTGTCCTTCCAAATGGGTTAGCGGTTAGCTGCACCCGTCATTACACCGGCAATACCGCCGACATCGATGTGCTCCGCAACAACGCTAAGTTTAATCTGCAAATGCTTCGTAAGGTTGTGGCGACGACGAACTTCCACGAAGGTCACTTGGTTGCACAGTACCCGTTGGGCTGGGCCGTGGTAGCCGACAAAGGCTATCAAAGCTTCGCACGTGACTTCCGCGTCATTACGCCTTACAAGCGAGCTGCATTGCAGACGCGCACGCTGGACCAGATCGCAACCAATGAGGACATTGCCCATGAACGCGTCTTAGTGGAGAGTTACTTTGGTCGACACTGTTCGCTGTGGTCAATCTACGCTGACAAGTATCGTTGCGATGAAGACAGCTACAACTTCTACGTTCAGCTCTGTGTAGCCTTAACGAACTTCTATGTCCGTGCCAATCTGTTACGCCGGGAGGAATGATGATAGTTACGCCCGCTACCGGCTGAGTAGCGGTGAAGTGCGTGAAATGCGCGGCTGAGACTGAGTTAGATCGGTGAAAGTATTCGCAGCGATCGCCGCGAGACCCAACAACGTCACCGAGAGAACCGACGCAACCGTATCGCTAAACTATTTGTAGTTCACCGTGAGCATGTGAGCCGCCCTACGCCCCGCAACCGCCACCGTGAGTCGCGTGGTGTCGGCGACGGGCGACGACCTGCACGTGGCCGCGTTAGCCGCAGATTGGAGGCCGCACAGATGTCTGCATGACTGGCAGACGACTCGTCGGATACCTCTTTGGACGCAATGGATTTGTCTACCAGCTCGCATGTGGTGTGAGCAGGCCGTCAGTATACGAGTCGCCGTCAGCGAGACTCAGTAGCTGAGATGACGCATGGCGCGTCACCGGGCTCTCCGACCTTCTATCACTACGTAGAGTAGGTGCCATTGGCACAGACTTGTAGGGCAGTAGGCGTAGAGCAATAGGAATTAGAATGTAGGACACGTGAGTGCCGGGTAAAGTACCACGACAGGACCACGGAGCTCTAGTGCTTGCTGCCTCTCACTCGATGCGCGCGCAGCACAGCAAAAGCAGTGTGAGTGAGAGCTGCCAAGCACCTGAACCTCCATGTTCCGCAAAGTTAGATTAGCACGTACTCAACCTAAGAAAGTCTTTAGAGAAGCTAAGTATTTCACCATCACCTGCAACTGCGTTGCAGGTGCTCACCGCCACCAGTGTCGTCCTTCATACAGTCCTTGGTATCTTCCGCACGCAGCTCGCACGTGAGCGCCGGGATGCAGTATACTGCATAGACACGCGTAGGATTGTAGGTCGGATCGGTAGTACTGGTATTGCCAGTGTCTTGGGGTTGTGGCAATGACGTCTGGCACTGGACACGGGCAGACTGTAGCAAGTAGCATCGCACAGTAGCAGGATAGCATCTCCCACTCCCACTTGGTCTCGGCGATGCAGTGGCGAATCGACGCGATCACATCGCTTCACCCGTACACACACCACTGAGAATAGTCGTATGATAGCCACCACCACCGTAATTTGCTAGCTGCTTAGTCTCCCACTCGAATCGCACGTGTTTGTAGTCCGGCGCAGTTGATTACATGCTAGTGTTGTGGTACAGCCACACGGAGCTGGTTCAACCAGTCGGCACACAGGAAAAATACATGCCATCGTCGTCAGTAATGTCTTAATTCGTCGTACTTGACCGCATCGCAGGTGACGCAGTCAGGGTCTCATACATCGCAGTTGACGCAGATGTATTCTTCTCATTTACAGTTGCGGCCATGTCGCTGTCTGCCACAATAGGGCAGTACCTTCAGCAACTTTCGGAATCGAGAGAACGTGACCACCGCAAGTGGTTTGGCGATGATGTCTGCCACCATATCCTCCGTCCCAATGTGTTGCGTAATGATCCGGTGTAGCTCCACGTTCCGCCGCACCATATGGTATTTGTTGTCAATGTGTTTTTGCTTGCTGTGCTTGCCGGGTTTAATCGTTAGAGA